TTGTTCGAAAACAAAAGAAGTTGATCGAAGGGATTTTAAACTTTGATGCTGCGATCTATCAGTGAAAACGAACGTAGGCACTGCCATGGTGGGATATAATTTGCTGATATAAATATGCATGCGCAAGTGTAAGGATTAAAACTTTATGAGTGATTAAGTCCATTTTTGAAAGGAAAACATCCTAGTGAAGGCAAAAATGAAAGTTTAGAAGTTATCGGAGGTATGCTGTGAATAAAAAAACGACAAATGAAGGAAGAGTGAATGACATACTGTCTTCTCCATTGCAAGGAAGCCCGGGTAGCGGGGGGATGCCCAGGAAAACATGCACATTCAACTCCGCTTCGCCATTTGCATGCAACAGGCGCACCGCTTCGTCCAACTCGCGCTGCGACGAGATTGTACACGGATCCCCTAAACATTGGTTATTTTAGAAAACAAACTGACAATTGCTGAACTGCTACTGATAATGTGTGTAACGTCAATATCATCATCATCCACAACACCGAATGCGGCTATGCCTTTTCTCGAGCTCACCCCAGGGCTCTACTTCAATGGCCCGAATCAATCTGCACAAAGTCTGGAATTTCTTAATTTTGGAATCTCTCCTCCCTACATCTAGTGGACTTGGCGCAGTACAAAGGGCCATGTGCTCTTAAAGTTCCAGTCAACGATTCCAATTCTGCTGCAGGAAAAACCAGTGTTTCTAAAATTTGACGATTCGTTTTGGTAGCAAATGGTACTGGTGCAAAATGCCAGGGAGCAAAACGTGCTTTCCTTCTGCATATGTCTAAGTTTTCAAAAACGGAAATGTGAACAAGATTGCCAAAGAATTAATACTTTTGTTAGAGTACTAAATATCCCCTGAAACACTTTCGTATGCATTTATTTTTTCTGGCAGAGTGGAAAATAGGTGCCCTGAATGTTCCGCTATCGGACTCATATTCAGAGGACTGGAAAACGCCGAGCACTGCAATGTATTCCGTGCGCCTCGTGATAACAGTAAAAATCCCAGTCATATATGCTAAAAGTACCAACAGCTAGGCCAAATACCATTCGTCAAAAATGAGAAGCAAATCAAGTGGCGCAACACGACTTCAGAAAGTTCTCATGCCTTACCAACACTACCAACTGGTACCATTCATGTACCACATTTCACCCTATTTCCCTAGGCTCACCATATAATGCGCCCCACTGCCGTCGCAACAGCAGTGGAAGCTCGTATTCGTTCTGCCTAGACGGATCGCTGTCATGGCATTCCTCTCTCTCTACCATCCTTCGAAACTAGCACTTTTCATAAGACTGCAGAACAACTTTTACACTTGGAATTCATTATATTTTAGGATTTCTAACTTTGCATTTCTTTTACGGTGTAAAGGCGATGTTCTCGCCTTGCCTTCCTACCCCCAATCAAAATAATAAAATACAAAAATAAAACAAAAACGTGAATCATTTTTTGATGAAATTCCAGTCGAACGTCGGGAAGGGAAGTTTCCATTGGACATCGGATTTCCGACAGGAATCCGACTCTCCATTCCCAAACCACCTTTTCCCCCGCCGACTTTTTGGGCACGTCCTTATGTTCAAAGCCCAAACGAACCTTCCTCATCAATCCATTTGACGGTGATTGGTTGATTCT